TGCGTCGTTGTCAGCCGCATGAAATTCGTCGTTTCACGTTCTTAAAATTGTTCGGTTACAATTCGCGTATTCTTCCAAGTCATGGTCTCAGTGCAGCAAAAGTTTCGTGAGTTCGGTTGTTTTCATTTTATTGTGGTGACACTGAGGAGTTTCATCTTCGTTTTGGTGTCCCGCGGCTGCTATGGCCGCAAAGGCTATCTTCGTGGTGATTGTCATCGGCACCGTCTCATTTGTTCTTGTCATTGTTCGTCTTCGTGCGCGCTTGTCCGTTTTTCATCTTCTTCTTGTCGGCTGCTTGGTAAGTGCCAATATATTTTCTATCTATTCCTTTAATAAAAACCACCAACCGCTATTTTCTGCAATTTGTATTTTTTTATTTTCCTATTTAGGAATTATTTATTTTCCTTATTTATTTTCCTATTTTCCTATTTATTTTTCAATTTTATTTTGAAAAGAAAAAACACCTCAGTGAAAAATAAAACGACAGTTTGTTATTTGATAACTATACATAGAAAATAAGAAATCTATAAAATACAATTTTAAAGTGGCTCTATCGGTATTTTTTTTTTTTCATATTTGCCAAAAATAATTTTTATCCCCATTGAATAGAAACGCTAACAGTGCCATAAAACGAAATGATTATAATTCGTTCTAAGAAATGTTTAGATTTATGAACGAATTTCAGTTTTGCGTCGTAAACGGTAATTATTATTATTCTACTTTCTTAACATCAAATTTGTGTTCATATATAATATATATCACTTAAGAGCACGCAACACCCATATGTGTTGTTTCCGTCTTCCAAACGTACAATATATAACAAATTTGCTTTTAGTCGAACATATTTTTTATTGTGAGTTTTAATAATAAAATAAATTGACTTATTATTAAACCTAAAATAAATAACAATGTAATCTGTGTTAATGCATCGGGTTTTTAAGTTATTTTTATTTTTAAGTGAACTATGAGCTTTTTTTTTATTATGTAACTCATTTTAAAACGTAAAGCATTGACTTATAAACACACATAATATTGTTTCATTTATTTTTTATAATTAATCGAATTATTATAATATTTAAGCTAATAAAAATACCAAGTTGGTTCTGCTGAAAGTATATTTGCTATGTTGTACTTTTGTAAGACGAAAACAACACATATGAGTGTTAAAGAAATTATGACAATATAACAAGTTTGTATTGGTAATAATTAAAACTTTTTCTATATTATATTTACATAATATTGACTTAATTTTAACCATTAGCCATGATAATTTAAAACTGAACATCGGGATACGCATAAAAAATAAGGAAATAATAATTATTATTTTGACAAAAACAATCAAAATGTTTTATTATGTATTTATAATTAATTGCACGCTTTAAGATTTGTTCGTCTGTTGTAATTTTCGTTTGGTTTTTAAAAAATTACTCTCAGGATCAGTTTAAAAAAATTATAATAATTATAATAGAAATCAACAACTGTAATATAATAATATTTAATATTACATTATTTTTAAAAAAATTGAAAAAATCAGTACGATTTTTGGAAATTATTTAAAAATAATAACAATTTAAAGCCTAATGTTTGAGTTGACGACCATTTAAAAATGACTAAAACATTCTCATTATAATCATGTTTATTTATTTTATTTATTTATTTTAAGTACTGATAATGAACCTAGTGGACGAATGGATCATCAATTATTTTAAGTAGTAAATTATTATTATAGAATTCAAATATTTGTGTTAGGAAATAAATATGTATCTCGGAATAAAACCAAAAATAGATAAATTATTAATTGCCACTATTAGTAACGAGTAATTTTAAATATAATTACTTTTAAAATGTTTTAAAACATTTTGTATATTTATCAATGATAGTCGTATTCCACAGTCGAATCGATAATATAATTATTGTTTTAATCTAACTAGTAATTATAGATTTCCTGATCATGTAATGGAATTAGTTAAGGTAACTATTTTGTATTTTATAGTTATTGGTTTTTTGTGTAGTTTATATTATTATTTATTATTAATTATTATTTAAAATAGAATAACATTGCATTTATAATGTATACATATAAGTTATTGAATGATTTAGATGTTTTTACATATAAGTTTTTTAAATAGTCATATTAAAGAAAAGTTCTGATTGGTTTTTCTTATACCACAAATAAAGAGATTGTCATCAGTGATGAACGAAATCAAATTATTAAATATTTTTAAAATTTTAAATAGATTAATAAAATATTTTTACTAAAAATATCATTAAATTGACTGAAATAAAATTATAATTATTATTAACTATACATTTTCACAGTAATTTTATTTCTTTTGATCGTGTTCGATTTTCATCTTATGATCATGTGACCACGCATGCGAAATAATATTATTCCATGCGAAGCGAATTGAATACACTAACACGAGGTTTTTCATAAACCAATACACATTGTTTTCCCCACTTCCATCTCATGCTCAAGAGTTCTAAAAATAGATAATAAATAATCGAAGCAGAAAAATCGTGGATCTAACGCGCGGCGGGTAAAAATGCAATCGTAGAACACGTGTAGACGGTTTAAATGGTACCGACCAAATAGTTGAATGACCTAGTAAATCTAATTTACAAATAAAATCCACTACATCTAAGGACGTATTTTAAAGTTCACTACTTTCAAAAATATTTAACCTATTATTAGCATTTATGATAGCATTAAATACTCGAACTATTAAATGGGCAGTACAATAATTCATAGTTAATTGTATTAATTCACTTATAATTCGTATACTAATCCACCGGTGCCGTACCTACACCACCTTAAAAATATGGTCTGGTCATGATCAAACTTGAACCCCGAGTTGGGCGCCACTGGTTGTACCATATTGTAACACTCTATACACAAAATTGTACCGTTATTGCGGTAGTATTTGCACACAGCTAGGAATGGGCCTAATCCGACGCAAACGAATTACGTGAATAAGCTTTGCAATGATGATTCAAGTATCGATTTTTCAGTTTCAGTGGCGGTCAGTCTTCGTCCATTCGTTGTCGTGCCCGGCTGATTGAACAATTGAATATCATTAAACATGTGCGTATTCCCAATATTGTTTTAACACGTACCTAAAATCATCCTTTTGATGGGATCGAGCTTATACACATACGATTTGTTGACATTCGAAGTTGCACACGTTTGTTTTTCATATATACTTTTATGATTTCCGTCGTCACAATGTGTCCTGCCATAGCAGAGATGCGTGGATAACACTACTACATCGTTCGTTAAAGTGATTATGTTCCATAACACGATAAAATCATATTATACGTCTGAGGTATCGGCCCCGCTTTGCTTTAAAGATTATATGTTTTTTTTTTATATTTATAATTTTTCGTTGTTGTTATTATGATTCGACATGGTGTAGCAAGCAAACGCCAAATTATTAAATTAACCTAACTCAAAGGGTTGATAACATTCATTATCAAACCGAACAAATTACATTGTATGTATCGATAGCGCACCGGAAACGTGGTCCATATTAACTGCAAACAGCATAATAATATAATATTGTACATGTTTTTACGTGAACAATTGAAGAGGTTTTTTCTTTTACGATTTGCAGAGTAATTGCTACGTATTAAGAGTTTCACGTTTGACAGCAGAGACGTATTACGGTAATCCGCGTGATGTATGCATAGTATATGTAACGATTGTTTTTGGCTGTCCGTTCGACCGCAAACAAATACATAATCTTATTGTGATTTCGATGTACACGTAATTTTGTTATTATTATTGTTCAAACGTCAGTTGCTCAATATCGATGTGTATTATACATGTAGTATTAATGATGATTTCCCAGCTCATCAAAACCCATTTTACAGACATCCATTTTCAGATAGTTAAATTCAAAACAAAGAACAATTAAATTACAAATGTTTACATGAAGTAGACGAAGTTAATATTTACTCAAAGCGAAGAACATATTTCACCACACCAATGTGTTGATTAAAAATAAACTAATGAATGTAGTTGTCTACAACAAACGGATCTTGACAGTTTCCAGGCTTTACTCTTAATCATCCCGTAATAAAATCATTAAATAAAATGTAACGGAGCATAAAATAAATATCGAATAAAGGTTTTGCAGTAATGGACACTCCGCAGTGAAATAATACTATAAGCTAAATAACAATTTTCATTTGTAAAATCACGTTGGTCTTTTCACTTTTATTTTTGCAAACAGTAAAATTATTTAAGTCAATTATTTTGTCAATTTCCCTATCAATAATTAATAGACAAATAGTATAAATAAAATATTCAATATATCAATGAAACGGGAATTTTTTTGAAACCTTGTGTTTTTGTCGGCAAATCGGAAAATTTGAATGATTTGAAAATTTGAAAATTTGATGGAGTGATATCTGATAAAAAACATGTTTTTGTTTTTGTGCGTTGGACTGGATCCGGCCAATTGTGTATCGGTAAACTAGCCATAGACCGATTATAGCGCTAAACCAAAACAATATAAATACATAGTGTTGTTGATAAATCGATGTTAAACAATAATATCAAAATAGAAACTGCAGCGGATTGTGTTATGATTTCTAATCGAAATATTCAAACGATTCGCTGTGCCGTCCGTACAATGATAATAACAAAAAAAAAAAAATTATTAAAAACGGTGTCTGCGTAAGAGTTAAAAAAAAAAAAAGAAACCTTAATATTATGTATATTTATGTATTTGGACGTAGACCAAAAAATGCATGTTGAAAATCGGTGATTTAGTTTATCATGCACAGTATGGTTGTGGCTATGGATCCGTCGTGCGTTCATCGCGGGTTCGAAACTTATAAGTATACGTAAATAAAAACGTCTCGGGGTCCCGTAGAAAATTAAGAAAAAAAAACTGTTCATCGAATCCATATTATTAGTATTATTTTTGTTTGTATTTAATTTTTTGTTCCTTCCCACCTTTCTATGGTGGAAGAAAAAAAAATGGGGGTGGGGACAAAAATTCGGTGTTCATGCGCACATGGCCCCGCAAAACCTCTTGTGTACGCACGAGACGTAACGACGAGGAGCCGTGTGCGCGGAAGTTTAAAGCAGTAGCGCAGTGATGCCGTACCCGTCGAATCGTCCGGGACGATACGCTATTCCATCAAATTCTTACGGGAAAAAAAATCACTCTAAACGCGTCGCGATCTCGTCGAATAGTTGAGTCGCCAACATTACTGTTTACCGTCATCGCGTAGTGCGTCGTTATATTCACATAATTTTAATAATATTTGTCGATTTCCGCTGTTTTCGCCGTTTTTCGGACGTTCTACAGCCGTCGCGCAAGTTTTTAATTTTTCAATCGTCATGCCACTGTAGCCGTGCGAAAACTAATAGTCGGCCGGCGGCACGGGAATAATGTATTTTCCAGCTGCCATATTCCGAGTGAGTAATAAGATTATAATATTTTATAATGATAATAATAATAATAATAGTGAGAATAATAATAATAATGATAGCTAATAAAAATGATAATAATAAGTACTTAACAAATTAACAATAACAATCATATCGAATTATCGAATACGATTTTTTTTAGTTTTCTACGGCTGTTTTGAACAGTGAAATACTTCCAATTTTTTACCACGCCATAAACATTTCATTTTTTTTTTTTTTATTAAATTTTGATTTTTCAAAAAACATCATGCAACGGCCGCTATAACAATAATTAAAAAAAAAAAAAATTACCAACTAATGTGTCGGACGAAATATCAAACAAAAATTCAATATCGAAACGAAATCGCATTCTATAAACCATTTTACAGTTATTGAAAACCGTTTGAATAAAATAATAATGTTTAAAACGTATCGAATCAAAAGCGACGCGTATGAAACGTATGCCCACAATTCGTTGATGAGACTGCGTATATCTTAGTAAAATGATCTTATGTCTGCATTATAATGACTAAACAAAATGCATTATTCGCACCTTTAAGTAATCATCGCCGTTCCGTGCGTACGATTACAACAAATATTTGTGTATACAATTGTAAGGGGCATTGAAACGGTTTCGCCCCCGAGAAGTAGGGGTAGAACGAGAATTCGACATCAATTTAACAGTTTTCCACGGATCAGCATGAAATGTTTGTTTAATTAAAACGGAAAATAAAGAAGAAAGAGCCTTTTAGAGATTTTTTTGCTACTGGAAAAAAATAAATATATAAAAAGTATATGTATACGTACACATAAAATAATGTAGGTATTATATTATGTACACGCATGAAACACGGTATATAATGTTTAATTAAAAAGTAACGGAAAGCGAAAAGTAAATACATTTCGTCGCGAACCGAATAATAATAAAACGACGGAATCTCTGGGGGGAAAAAAAACGTGAATTACTGTACTGCGACCGCTGTGGACAGTTACGCATAAACATATTTTGTTTGTGTGTGTTTAAATATATCAGTGTTTAATGAAAAGTGTTATCGTTGCTCGGAGACGCTGCCGATATCGAAGTTATCGAACGCGTGTGACTCGTTCAAGTCATTGGATAATTATTTATTTAATTCGGAAAATCGCAACCGGTACATTTTACGAGGGAAACAAAAAAAAAAAAAAAATCGTAACAATAAGAGAGCGATGAATTAATTAAATTAATTAATAACACGAACTCCATAGTTATAACAAACCTTAATGGTTTTTCACGTTTTAATCGTGGACACGAAAACGAGACTACACCGTAACGTACGGTCCTACGTCGGCACAATTTGTTTGAAAAACAAAATCTTATACATATAAATACAACACTATAATGAATTATGCAAATTACCTTTTGAAATAAACGTCGTGAAAAATTCATAAATTTTTGATTAACGTCTGCGACAAAAATTAATGTATACAGACGGTTTCCGACATGTTGGTCGTGCAATGCTTTGTTTCGTTCGTTGAAAATAATAATGATGTATGGACCATTATAGTTTCCAGAAAATAAAACGATATTCACACAACCTATAACTTTTTATAATGAACTTCGGTCATCTTTTCATATTTTTTTTTTTTTTTGTAAACAGTTGTTATGCGTTTATTTATATTATTATAATATTATATTTTATTTGTTAGCCCGCCGCCGCCAGTTTTGACCCTCAGCCCATCGCGGTGTAAAACGGATTACGGGTTTTCCTGTAAGAACTATTTTGTATTCGGATGCATAGGCAAATCGTGTGCGGCATCACGTTTTTATTCCA